ACACAAGACCCCCTTCTGGAATTCAGACCCCCCTCCCTGACACCAGACCCCCCTGTCAGACATCAGACGTGTTTCCGCCCCGCAGGACGTGATTTTAGCGTGTCGGGCGGTGTATTCCGGCGGGGCGTGCCTGTCGGGTTGTCCCGCGATGTTTGCGGAGCGTGCCCCGGGCGGCGGCTGGCGATTTGACGGGACGGACAGCTGCGCTGAGCCGGGGCGGGCAGGTAAGCCACGCTCCGCTGCCGCTGCCGTCACGCCCGCTGCACGGCGCGACCCTCGCGGAGACACCAACATAGCCTCCAACAGGCCTTCCCGAGGGCGCTTCTATTACAGAATTCCGCAAAAACAGGGTTTGACTGGCCAGGGGAGTTGGTCCACCGTTGTGGTTTTATTCCCCACTTGAAAGGGCAAATGGAAGCAAACTTTCCTGGCTAATTATTGTCCCCATGTGGCTAAATTTTGCTGTTTTTGAACCAGAGGTGGTGTGTAAGTCTGGTGGGGGAAGCCCGCATCGTCTATAATACTCTATTCATCGCTACCCCGTGCCTGCCTGTTGTTGTTAAACTAAGGCCGCCGCCGCCGGGCATCCGCCCAGTAAAACACACTTATTATGTCGGGCTGAGCGCCGTAAAAACAGGACCGGCGACGCCGCGCCGAAATCGGTGGGCTAAGCGAGCGCAATTTATCCGCGCCGAAAATCCGGCGGCACAAAGGGGCAATCAGCAGCGCCGACTTGGCTAATGCGGCTGGCTGGCGGGCGGCCGGCTCCGGGGGGAGGGCGCGCGCCCGCCGGAAGAGCTGCTTACGACCGTGCAGTTATTGATTTGTATCGCGTTCCGACGGTAGACGGGCCGATTAACCGCCCGGGGCCGCCGGACGGGCCGACTGGCGGAGGGGGGTGAAGGGTGTGGAGGGACGTACCATCCTTCTTTTCCCTCTCCAAAATCCACATTTCTTTTGTATGATAGAAAACATTAATTTCACAAATCTTACAAAAGTACAATTTACTACATATGTGTGAACTTAATAAAGATGTTGAGTTTAAAGCGTAGAAAATATTATGACGGAAACGCCCCTGTTGTAGAGTGGGTTCTCCTAATGTTATGTCACGTGGAGTCGGCGGTGAATCAAGGCAGGAAAGCAGTGAGCCGCGGCACGGCAGTAGCCTGTGTGTTCCCGTCTGGAGACCGCCGTGTCGCCGACAGCCGATCCGCACAGGACTACAGCGAAGCACGGCAAAGCAAACTGCGGGAAAACCGCTGCGAGAGGCGCCCGTGTTTCTCCTGCACACAGCGTTACCAGCGGGGCGAACCCGGGAAAGTTTCGGCGGCGACTCCGCCAGAGCATCGCCGGAAGGCCCTCGTCACCTCGCCCGCCGGCTGCCCGGACTTACGACGCTTGGAGAGCGGGTTATTTAAGCCACAATCAGAGAGTGTCGCTATTTATTGAGCCGCCGCCGCAGGTTTGTTAGTTATATCCGGGCGCCGACAAAAGGCGGGACGCCCCGCCGGGAGGTTTGTGCGAGTTTCCTCGGCAGGAACTGTCGCGGTGCCCCGCTGAAGTAGCCCGGGCCAGCCGGGGGATCCGGACGTGCGTTAGCCGCAGGCACCGCCGCAGTGTTTTGTAAACAGACCGGGGGAAAGGCGAGTCTGCCGCCGCGGTGTGTGTGTGTGTGTGTGTGTAGGACCAACAGGACGCAGCCTAGTGTTTGTAGTGTCCGCCCGACCGCCGGCACATCATGTCGGAAGCGCTCAACCTCTCCAAGGTGGAGGCCAAGAGGTCTTCGCGGAGAGACGATGCTCCTCAGGAGGGGAGGAAGATGCGGAGTAAGGAACAGTCTAAAGACGACGCCGACGTTCCGACGAAACCTGCGTCCGAGCTAGCCACCAAACCTGGGAAAGAGAACCCCCTGGCCGGCGCGTCGTCAGAACCCAAACCTGGGAAGGAGAACTCCGCCTTCGAAGCCAACAGTACTACTAGTTCCACCAAGACGCTGCCCGGAGGCGGCAGCGACTTCCTTAAAGACATGTCATCAGGCGTTAAGCCCGAGAAGACGGACGCGTTCCAGCCGGAGTACCGCGACGCCCCCGCCGGGCCGGCTATGCACCTCCACCCGCTGCACCCCACGGCCATCCCGGGGCTACCGGGCTACGGGCACCTTGGCTACGGGCTCTTCCCGGGGCTGCACCCGGCGCCCCGGCCGGAGGAGGCGCTGGCCGGGTGCGAGGACGTGGAGATACTGTACGACAGCGGCGAGCCCGTTATCGAGGTGGAGTGCGGTGAGAACAAGGCTTTTCTCTACATCAACAAACTCTGCCAGGGCAGCAAAGGGCCCTCCATCCGCCTCAGCAACGAGATGCTCACGCCAAACGAGTTCCAGTTCATCTCGGGTCGGGAGACAGCCAAGGACTGGAAGAGGAGCATACGGCACAAGGGAAAGAGTCTCAAGACGCTGATGGCCAAGGGCATCCTCCAGGTGCACCCCCCGATCTGCGACTGTCCCGGCTGCCGCATCTCCTCACCTGTGGTAAGGAAACTTTCACTCTCTTGGAAGGAAACTTTCACTTCTTGGTAGTTATTTTTAAGTTTTGTGCAAAACATAGCCTCTAACAGGCTCCTCAGATGGCTAGAAATTGGCTAAAATGACCGAAGAACATTCCAGAGGAGTTAGCCGCCTAGGGGGTCTAATGGTAGCCTAAGGCGCCTGGTAGAGGGGCTATGCAAAACATGTTTACTTGTCAATTCAAATCTGTTGGTTTGGCTTCATGGTTTATGACAAGTGGTTTGAGTTTTATTGCTTTTCACGAAGTAGGAAAGTTTAGAGGAATGTTCACAAATTCTTTACATATCTTGAAGAGTTGATTTATGTCCTGCACACACTTATGTCCACACGATATCATTACGTTTGATTATGATGATATTTTAGATATGCTTGTCTCGGCGAACTCTGTACGATAGTTTCTTTGCAGTTGTTCCTTCCCTTCTAGTGCTTTACGTCTTCTAGAGTTCTATGTTGTCTATACTGTATCTCTATATCTTTAGTGAAGGTTTCTTGAAAATATCACAGACGTTTTGTTAGAAATTGGGCAAATAGGCTTAATAATATGGCAGAATGTTAGCCGTGGGTTAAAAAAAGTGTATGGCTATTCAGTCTGTATCTGTCCAATTTCAAGTATTTTTCATCAATCCATTAGACTCTGATAGAGACTAGGAAAGAGCCAGTTCCCGGTGTTTTTCTCTGTCACTCCTCTGCGTTCCGTTTTAAACCGTGTATGTCAAGTTCCTCCGCACGCACGGCTCAGATTCTGCAGCTTTAGAGAAAAAAAACTGGTTTCTCTTATCGCCGAAACACGTGAAAAATCCATTTCCCGGCGTTTTTCACGCACGCGAGCGCGCTGACGAGCTTATTTCCACCACTTCCATCACTTGTTTCACGTCAAACGCATTATTTTCACGTAAACCCGATCGGTCACCGTTCCTTAATAGCCTCGATCAGGCCTTCCTAAGGGCGCTAGGATGGTAGAATTCGGGCTAGTCTAACAGAAGTCGGCAAATATTAGCCTCCGTAGCAGGCTTATAGAACTGGTGGTTTGGTGGTCTTCGGCTGTTTTCTGATTAGCCCAGTTCTTTAAAAAACTGGGGTTCAACCAGGCCGGCTAAGTTGTCTATATGAAATCAGAAAATAGCACACAAAAGCTCCCAAAGACCATGAAGATCCCCAAAACCTACAGTTTTTTGGCATGCTATGGAGGGCTAGGATGGTAGAATCCGTGTTAGGATGACGGAATTCGGCAAACATAGGTATCAAATGAACTCTACGGTGGCCCAACTCCCCTGTCCAACCATTTCCCCTACTTTGCTAAATTTTACAGTTTTTTTTTTTAAATGGAGACTCCCCGTCCCCGTCGTCTGATGATCCTTACGTCATGGTTCGTTACGACGTAAAATCACGCGTTATCACGTAAAATAACGCGTTACCGGCGAGCGGAATCTGATTTCCCTGCCGCCGGGTATCGACTAATGCGTAACCGTGATAAGGGCGGGCGGGCGGGCGGAGACGTGTTATCGTCAATATCGCAAATTTCGCCTTTAACTCTTTACTGCCGCCCCGCTGTCAATAAACCGGACGTCTGCTCAGGTTTATATCACCCTGACGGGCTTAATCAATCCGGGAACAACTTCGAAACGCGTTTTCATAAGAGGATATATCTCTAGGAGAGTTTCGGTCATTTTATACCAACCCGTTACCAAGTACATGTCAAGCGTTTGCGGCAAATTAAGGAGAGGTTTTTCACTGACAAGATTCTTAGTACACAAACTGAGAATTTTGATGAACTTCAAGTTCAAGTAGATTGCTAAAACGTTAAGTTGAAGGTTAGACGTCCACATAATGACACGCACGACGTCTATTTGATTTGTATGGCGTCCTTGGTCTAACTTTCTTCTATCTACAGAAGAAAACAGTTTGTCAAGCAACTGGACGAATTTTCATTATTTTTATGCCTTTTAAAGGCTATCCAGTTGCTTGAGTAACTGTTTTCTTGTGTAGATAGAAGAAAGTTTAAGACCAAGGACGCCAGGCACATCAAACAGAGGTCTTGGACTTGCACTTGGCCTACGTGACGTCACGGCTGAGTGCCCGATGTGTCCTGACGGCCGGAGGTCAGAAGGCCATGTTGATTTAATTATATGGATGACATCCGCGCGCGCGTGAATTTTCGTCCGTTTAAAAAAAAACGTGTCAACGAAACTGTAAATCGTACAGAACAGTTGCAAAATGAGCAAATATATACCACAAGTTGCAAAAAAAAAGGATTGGTAAACGGTACCAATGTCGTAGAATGCCAAAATCAAACAAAAAAGACGAAAATGTAAAGAAATGAATTTGAAGACTAGATTATTCTATGACATTTGTTCAATCTTCATGACCACGTAGACTTCATAATGAAAACAACTTTTTTTTGCCAACCTTTTTTTTATTCGCACGCTCGCATCAGTTTTGGGGTTCCCGGAGGATGTCATCCATATAATGTAATCAGCATGGCCCAAGCCCCGCCGCACACAAACACACAAAGGCCGCGTTGTTTCATCTCACACCTCGGCAGCTCTGCAGACGGGCCGGCGGACCCCTTTAATATTTTACACCGTAGCCTGGTTACCGGTCTCCACAGGCCGGCTTAGGGTCCTAGTCTAGCCTGGTTACAACTCGGCCGCGCGACAGGGTAAACTTGGGGGCGATTCTGCTGGGCTTGTCTGGCATGATAGCCTGGTTACCGGTCTCCACAGGCCGGCTTAGGGCCCTAGTCTAGCCTGGTTACAGACCGGCCGCGCGACAGGGTAAACTTGGGGGCGATTCTGCTGGGCTTGTCTGGCATGATAGCCTGGTTACCGGTCTCCACAGGCCGGCTTAGGGCCCTAGTCTAGCCTGGTTACAGCCCGCGACAGGGTAAACTTGGGGGCGATTCTGCTGGGCCGGGCCTGTCTGGCTTAATAGCCTGATTACCAGTATCCACAGGATAGCTTTTCAACAATGTTTAGAGTTAGAAGTTCAAGGGATAGGTGTAACAAGTCGTTCGGTGTAATGTAGCCAGCTGCCGCCGCGCCGCGTGCCTGCGAAGCTGGTGTGTTACGCCAAAGGGCGGTTATACCGGCTATACAGATACAGATATAGCCTGGATGCCAGACCCAAAGCACACTGGACACAAAATATCTCAGTGTGCAAGGTTTGTGTCCAGTGTGCTATGGGTCTGGAACCCAGGCTAATACAGATAGAATGGCTGTGGGTTTTTTTGGGGGGCCCAAGCCTAGCTATAGCCTGGTTACCATTCTTCACGGCACAGGTCGACTTAGGGGTGTTTTACCGGCCCCAATCCTAACCATAGGCCTCTCCTGACATGCTAGATCCTTCCAGCCGGCCTTTCTTAGCCTCTACCAGGCATGAGGAGGCGGCTGGAAAGAGTAGAAATCTACTCTTTCCAGCCGCCTCCTCAAGCCTGGTAGAGGCTAGGCCTTTCTAATTATTGCCGGTCTGAATGCGCTAATGAACCTGGGCGGGAGTCCGTTTGTTTGTTTATCTTATTAGGATCTCCGTTAGTGTTACAATTCACAAGTCTTCGCGACAGTACAGTATAGTACTCCAAGTAAAAGTAAAGTACAGTTCGGGAGCGGCAAACTGTTCTCTCCAGCAGACCAACTCCCCCGGCATGTTATCTCTCTATTTGGCCGATTTCTACTCTCTCCTGCCGCCTCCCGAAGCCTGGTAGAGGCTAGCATGTTGTGCCAGGCGGAGTGCGAAGCCTGGTAGAGGCTATCATGTTGTGCCAGGCGGGTTTAGAGCGGGTTGTGCCAGGAAGAGCCTGGAAGAGGTTAGCATGTTTACAGCGGGTTTAGAGCTGGGATTTTGCCGCGGTGTTGTACAAACGGAGGCGGCGGTTCTTCCCGCTAATGCGGCTGAAAGTTGTGCCAGGAAGAACCTGGTAGAGGCTAGCATGTTGTGCCAGGCGGAGTGCGAAGCCTGGAAGAGGCTAGCATGTTGTGCCGGGCGGGTTTAGAGCGGGGATTTTGCCGAGGTGTTGTATAAACGGAGGCGGCGGTTCTTCCCGCTAATGCGGCTGAAAGGCCGGCAGGTTATTAATGTCCGAGGCGGCGCGGAAAGCAGCTTTACGCTGATCGCAGCGCCAAGAGAGGGAGAGGGTGTTTAGTTTTGTACGTGTGCTTTCCAAGCAGAGGTTTCGCTTATTTTTTTACGTGTTTGAAGACGTTTTCGTCGGTCTGGCGTAGAAAAAAAAATCCAGTACAAAAAAGTGTGTGTGTGTGTGTTTGTGTGTGTGTGTGTGTGTCTGCGTGTGTGTGACTGTGTTACTGTGTGTGTGTGCGTGTGTGTGTGTGTGTGTGTTTGCGTGCGCGCGTGTGTGTTTGTGACTGTGTTAATGTGTGTGTGTGTGTCAACCCTCTCTGCCTACAGAGTATTACAGTGTGTGTGTGTGTGTGTGTGTGTGTGTGTGTGTGTGTGTGTTTGTGTTTGTGTGTGTGTGTCCCAAAGCCCAAACCTTTCTGCCTGCAGAGTTCTGTGCCTGTAACACCAATGATCAGGATGAAAACAGAGAAGCCGTGTCTCGCGTGCTTACCGCTGATCCTCCCGCGCGGCGAGTCCGTGTCATGTCGTGCGGGCCGCGGCCTGGCGGCGTCCGTCTGAAGCCGGGCCGAGCTGCGGGTAAGGCACGCCCCGGCGGCCGGATATCCCCTTTCCGTGCCGCCAAGCTAGCCTCTATCAGGCTTCGGGAGGCGGTCGGCAAGGCCAGGCTTCGGGAGGCGGCGGGCTGGCACCCCCCGTCTGAAGCCGGGCCGAGCTGCAGGATATCCTCTTTCCGTGCCGCCAAGCTGGGACCAGACCCGCCAGGCCGTAGTCTTAAACAGGCTCCTCTGCAGGATGGATAAGTAGTCCTAAAACAAAAGAAAGAAAGAATGAAGCTGGCCAAGGGCAGGTTGGACCTAATCTCCAAGAAGACCCTAGGGTGGAAAAAGACA